CGACAGGGGCACAGGTACGACCTCCCAGGACACTGCCCTGCGTCTTCCCTCCCCACATCGTAAGCCCTGGCTGTCCCAGAGTGCCTCGGTTACACTTTGTAAAGACTGCACCAGACCTACCACCTGGAGGCTTCCCACCGAAGGTTCCCTGAAGGAATGAAAAACAACTAATTGCCACAAAAAGCACATTTCTCTCAAAAGCTGTTATTTGGGAACAATTCATGAATCTGTGTACTATGGGCGGTTCCATGAATGCGGGTACTGTACCCGTCACCTAGATCCACAGACATGTTTATTCATTTTCTGCACCATTTAAAGTGGCAAACCCACTGCTGCCGAGTCAATTCCGACTCATAGTGACCCTGTAGGTCGGAGTAGAACTGCCCCATAGGGTTTCCAAGGCTGTCATCTTCACAGAAGCAGGCTGCTACCTCTTTCTCCCAAGGAGCAACTGGTGGGTTCGAACCACCAACCTTTCGGTTAGCAGACGAGCATCTAACCACTGCACCACCAGGGCTCCCACACTGGGTCACCTAGGGTCTCACAATAATAAAAACCAAACCCATTGCCATCGAGTTGATTCTGATTCATAGCGACCCTATAGGACAGAGTAAAGCTGCCCCATAGGGTTTCTAAGGCTGTCATCTTTATGGAAGCAGACTGCCACATCTTTCTCCCGCGGAGCAGCTGGTGGATTCGAACCGCGGACTTTTTGGTTAGCAGCCGAGCCAGGACTTCTTAAGTGGCAGATACTTAGCCCTAAATACCTGAGTGCGTATCTCATAGACATAAGGACACAAGCCCACACGGCCACAATTCTATCCTGATTACGCCTATAGAAATTGAACACTGAAACAATGGTATTATCTAATATGCAGTCCAAGGAGACCTGGTGGCACAGCTGTTAAGCGCTTGGCTGCTAACCGAAAGGTTGGTGGGTTCTAACTCACCCAGTGGCTCCACGAGAGAAAAGACCTGGTCATCCGCCCTCGTAAGGATTACAGCCTAGAAAACTCTATAGGACAAATTCTGCTCTGTCATGCGTGGTTCCTATGAGTCGGAATTGACTCAACAGCTCAAAACAATACGCTGTCCACGTTGAGATTTCTGTCACTGTTGTTGTTAGGTGCCACCGAGTTTTACTTCAACTCACGGCAACCTTATGTACAACAGAACAAAACGTTGCCCGGGCCTGCGCCATCCTCATAATTGTTGCTGTGTTTGAGCCCACTGTTTGCAGCCACTGTGTCAATCCATGAAATTTCCATAGCTGTCCCCAAAAATGTCCTTTATGGCTTTTTATTTTGTAATCCAGGACCCAAA